TACATACATACATACATACATGCATATCTACATACATACATACATACATACATACATACATACATACATACATACATGCATGCATGCATGCATACATACATACATGCATACATGCATGCATGCATCCTTGCATGCATGCACGCATGCATCTGTGTATATATCCATAGATGTATACATATGCATATATAGATAAGTGTTTGTATACTTGCATGCATACCGGGATGGCGCATGCACACTGCACCTATAGCCAATCCAAGAGCCTTTTAGACTATTGAGTTCTACATGTTTGGTCTAGATGGGAAAGGATGAGCGGGCTCGGGTCTGACCTGCTCCTTCAGGGCTTCGTGACATCAACCAGGGTGCAAGCAGGACAACCTACTGCTAGAGGTGCCAAGGGGAAGAGCAAAGGCTGAGAGTGGAGACCAGATTCCGGTCTCGGACTTCCGGACTGTCTCCACGGCACATCTTCTGGAAATCCTAGAGCTTGGTGTGCTTCAGTGGGCATGCAAGGCATGCAAGCTCCTGGGAAGAATCCTTGGGCCAGTGCAGTATCACCTCAGCATGTCACATCTGGCTGATTCTTATGCTGGTGGACGGTACGGGTTAGACACCCATCGGTGATTGCTCATGGTTAGCAGTTAAGTTATGGCTAGTCAGTTCATTAATATTTAGCCAGTCAGTCAACTAGTTTGTTGGCGGGTTGGTGAGTCAGCGGGTAGCCAGCCAGGCAGCTAGCCAGCCGGCCACCCAGCCAGCCAGCCGGCCGGCCAGTCAATACGTACTTAATATATACAAACTTTGCTATTTGTTCACTCTGTTCGTCAAGTTGTTTGTTCGGATGTGGTTTGCTTTGTTATCGAGCTCCTGAAGCCTCAGAAAGTGCAGCCGCCGTACAGGGTTCTGAAGGCCGCATCAAGCGACGCCCGTAAGTCGTAGACCGCAACCCGAAGGAGCACATTTAATCCCAGCCTGAGCCGTTACAAGCCCATAAAGCCACTCCTGGGACTACCCAGAGACTCCAAAACCCTTTAATTAAGGAATATACCTTAAATCATATTAGGGATCCTATTATAATTTAAGGTATATTCCTTAATTAAGGGGTTTTGGAGTCTCTGGGTACCAACCCTGCGCCAGTGCCTGGGGACAGACGCAGATGACTCCCGAGACGCTGTTCAGACAGCCAGGACCCCTGTTAGGGTTTAGGGTTTAGGGTTTAGGTCCCCTAAACCCTAAACCCTAAACACCTCCGGGGTTTTAACGGTGCGGTGTGCAGGATCCAAGGTAGGTTTGGAGAAGCCCAAGCTTGGTTTCCTTTGTTTCTGGAATTAGTGCGATGCTTGGTGGAAGGACGGGTATTTGTGTATTGAGAACGTAAAGGTCTCGGGGTTGAAAGTTGACTTACGGATCTTCATCTGGCTTGACAAGACAGACAGTTTGCTGGACCAGATCCATCTGACCTTGGAAGCCCCACAGCCTGCCTGACCTATACACGAAGGCTCCAAGTATACAGACACACATACTCTGGGGAGAAAATATTAGTGTATATTTATGTATTTTCTCACTATCTCTGTATTATAATACATATATACATCGGACCTGTCTTAGGGTGCTTTAGAGCAGAGAACCCCGTCCAAGGTACATAAAGCCGTTCTTCAAGCGGGAGCCAGTGCCTCACATTTCGGGCCTTGAGAAGTCTAGCGAATGGAATCAGGATTTCCGGGTTTAAAGTTGAGGGGTTTCGGGGTTTGGGGTTTTGACTTTCGGATTTCATCGATGTTGTTCGGGTGTGGCTTTTGTCTCTGTGAGGCGCACATTGAGGCTCAGGGCTTGTTTGAAGGGTTCAAGAATTTCCCTGGGTTTCGCGGTGTTTGCTTCCTCAACAGGCTGGCCTCATCAAGACCTTGGGTTAAGTAGAATAGCCAGGTCATCCATCAGATAGACCCTTAAAGCTGCAAGCCCAATTTCAATACAAAAAAAAGGCCTACACCATATCTAGAGCCTAAGCCACCTGCACCCCTGAGCCCTCGAGGTGTTCGCAAGTGGCCTACTTGGCGGTTCCTCAAAGCTCCAAGCGCGCCACAGGTGAAGACCAAGCCTATCAAAACCTGGAAGTCGGTTGGGTATCGTGGTTTAGGGTTTAGGGTTTAGGGTTTAGGGTTGTGGGTTGTCCGCACAGGTTCTTGGTTTCGGTCCTGGGGTTCGAGGTTCTGGCTTATGGGCTTCATCCTGCATTCATCCTGCAACTGATAAAGTCCAGGCAGTTCCCATAGCTGCAAAGCCCACAAACAACTGCCGCCTGACACCTGGCCGAGTTACCTGCCCTATGGCTCCAAGAACGCCCAGCGAGTCCGATACTGAGCCTGCGGAGAGGACTACCAGATATAAATCCTGCATTACCCCTGATAAGGAATATATCATAATTCCCCTAGCTTAGGGTCCTTCAGGTAGTGCAGGATTTATATCATCAACAGTAGGAGATGCCTGGAGTATAACGTTGTCGGGAGATAGACGCGTGGACTTTACAGGTCCTGCACAGCTATCCTATAGGATGCCTTTGTGACCCCCCGTAAGTCGTCGAATAGAAGCTTAGAAAAAGAAGTTTGGCCTGTGTACTGGAGCCTGACTTCAGAGCCGGTAGACAGGGTTTGGAAAAAACAAAGATGGGAGTTTCCAAAAACTAGGGTACCTTATTTTGGGGGTCCTTATAATAAGGATCCTGTTATTTAGGGTACTATATGAGGGTCCCCTATTTTCGGAAACCCTCACATGTAGCTCAAACCCGCAAACCTGGAATGCCGATGTGCTAAGAAAGCTGGTATCTTTCGTCTTGGAGTAGCTTACCCTTGCTGCCAACACCCGGTCTGCACACAACTCCAATGCTACAGACCCCTGCATCGCCCGAACATGCAAGCTTGACAAGACCCTGAACCTTGAAACTTATTGGCCCATAAACTCAAGCTGATCTCAGTTCAGGAGGTTTGCTTCGTTCGAGCATACCCGCCAGCAGGATGTTTGTTTCCAGAAGCTTTGTAATGCTGCTCGCAACAACAGACGGTCACCGGGCTCTGACATCTAATGCTGTCTGCTCGACTTGCAAACTGGCTGTTCTACTCTCAGCCCTACCCTCTCATCCGAACCGCCAAAATCGGATCGCAAATTCGAGATCCGAACCTCAACCCCTCCGCCTTCCGGGAGGCGGACCCTATAAACCCATGCAGACACGCAGGTCCGGTTAGTCCATGCCGGGCAGGTTATCAAGGCGCGAAATGACAAGGCTTGCTGACAGGGCCGGGCTGTGCGGTACGAATCTGTAGCAGCTGGGGATGTAGGATTTGGATAGGGCTACATAAGGCTCAGGATATGGGCTATCGGAAATAGGAGAAGACTTGGGTTTAAGGCTGTTGGGAAAGGCCGGGAAACGTCGGGGACTAGCTCTTGGCATGTGGATGGATCAGGCTGCAGGCTCTATTCACATGAGGTTTGCTGCGAACTGGGTTAAGGACTTGGTGTTTGCTAGCTTAGGGGCTATCATATGAGGACCCCGTTTTAAGAATAAGATAGGAAACGGTATGATACGCACATGTACACATGCAAACGGCGGCATACATATATCGAGTTGGCACATTTGCTGCCACTTTAAACAGAAGCATGAGCATGTATGTTTAGTGTGGGTGTGTGTATATTATATATACAAATGTATGTGTAGAAGGATATGTACAGTGGCTATGCCTCTGCACTACATATGTTATATATGTATATGTATAATATGTACATGAATATGATAAAGCGGGAAGACACAGTCAGACGAGATGTAATGCCTAAAGCGCCCTCCCCCGCTGCAAGGCCGGCGAGGTCTACCTTCAAGTCGAGGCACGCAAGGGTTTAGTCTAGTTTGATACAGCACATCACAGGAGTGCGGGGTAGTGAGGGCTTGGGACGTTGAAGAGGTGGTAGTTCTTTTAGATTCTTTTAGTTTAGGTTCTACAAGGAGGGTTCGAAACTGGCTGAAGGGCTTCAACGGTTGGTCAACTATGTCGCATGACGGACTTCTCTACTCGTGTTTGATGCGATCACGTATAAGCCATGCGGAAAGGGAGGCCTGTCAAGCTGAGTTGAGTTCGGCAGCGGAGAAACAGCTGCAAACACACATCGAACCCGAGGCCTTGAGCTCCAATACTAGAACAACCTTCTAGGCCTGAGCCACCATATGATTTCCACATTGTTTCTAAAGTGCAGTTGTGCTCGGTGTGACTATCTCAGCGCACTTTCTACAGGCTCGAAGTCTTTTGCCGGACCGGGTAAGGTCATGATTACAGCAGTGTGGTACTCATAAGTGTTGAGAACGCTTTGAATTGGGAAGTCTTGAAAGTGTACAGAAATTATTGCTTTCTAGTCTTTATTAATCGTGCAGACCTGAACCAGACGTGCGGGTTTTGAACGACATGAAGAACCGTAGGTCCTACACTCGAAAGCCCAACCCCATACAGCTAACTTCCAAGACCGGTGACACCCAGGCCACTGATCCACCAGGATTGGGCGTGGTCTCTGTCGGATCCCTACCGGGCTGCAGGGTCTTCAGACCAGACAGATCACAGCCGCACGTGGAGGAGAGTGTCGGACTTGGGGCAATGCATCCTGATCTCAGTTGGTGTTCAGGCTCAGAGTTGAACGTGCAGAGTTAGGGAGCATGTAGGCTGCTGCTCTCGCACCCGAGCCCAGAATCACTTAGGAATTACGCAAAGGCACTGTATCCTCAACTCAACACAAGTTTATTGGGCTGACGATTTCCACCCTCCGAGTGCAGAATGCAGTATCGAATCCCCCATTTTCTTTGGGTTGGGCCTTGGGTGCACTCCAAGATGGTGGAAACTGTAATTTTCCCAGGCAACGCACGGGGGGGTGGGTGGGGGGGGGGGGGTTGCATTTTGAGAGGCCTCGGCCTTTGGACAATGTGGGACATTGCACAAAGGCAACCGTCAAAGCTAGCAGCGGCTCTTCCGTAAAGCAGCCACATACAATCTGGGGATCTCTATCGCCCCTCGCCATCTTTGCCATACTGAGACTGACACAGAGATCTTTGCACTTTGGGATACCACACCCGAGTTCGCAACTTGGCGTTGAGATTCGTGGCTGGGGGGCTCGGGGGGAATATGTTGTGATTATTTGGGGTTTAGTGTGACTTGGCGTGGCGACTTTGGGAATGGAGGGTTCTGCAGTGTCTTTGAGAAGGCATTTTGATTTTTGCGCTTTGCGTTTCGGGCCAAGCTTAACACAAAAACAATGTGCGGTAGCATATGCGCTGTTGGTCTAGGAGCCACGTTTGCTTTTTGTGTATCTAACGATTGCGTGTGTGATTGCAGTGAAATACCACTTACAATTCTACAAACTATAATGATGTCGAGTGCCATGTACGGAGCAGTATCACGATAAGTGCAAGTCTAGCTGTCCAACTCGGCAAAGCAGCAGCTCGCATCAGACAAAGACAGGGGCACGATGGTCTGCACTAGGGGTCTATGGGTCCGGCTGCACCCGGAGTGCCGTTTGACCTAAGGTTCCTGTACGTCCTGGGTCGAGGGTTTGTACTGTCCCAAGACCCTTTCGGATCCTAGGAGAAGGTGCAAATTCTGCCCTTCCAGGACCTCTTGCAGCTGCTGTGATCGGTCTCGTTAACATATAGTATCGATATTCGAATGAACGGTGTTATTGTGTGTTTTGAGTTGTATCATGATCTCGGAGTCATTCTTCACGTTGTTCTGGAGCGGGCAGAGAAATGAGAGCTCCGGAAAGAGCTTCGAGGCAGAATTTGATGCTGTGGGTCGAGATGAGTTCAGAGAGGGCAAAATTCTCGGAGTTCGTAGAAGCTTGAACGACATGAGTTCCCAGTATCTGCTGTCGACTTCTCAACATACAGGCTAGGCTGGGTGCGGGATGTGTCTGCATATCGCAACTTCGACCTCGCGCGCGGTCTTTGTGGGGTCTTCGTCTTTGAGGTGACATCGACATGCAGTTCATGCCTCCCGTGCTTGCAGGATACTCTGCCACGCGCCTACGAGTACGAGCTTTTCAGTGACTACTTGAAGCCGTACTTGCTCCGGAATGGGCATCGGAAGTACCAGGACAGACTTGTGAAATGGTTCCAAAGACAGCTTGAGCACGTGGGGAAGTTAAGCATGAATTTGTGAGCTGGGCTCGCGCTCACACATGAAACCTGGCTCTGCAATTTCTGTACACCAAAAAAAATCGGAAAAATCCATGAGTTTCGGGAGAAGCAGCCCAGGCTGAACCAATCTGGACTAATTATGGCAACCTGTCTTGTGTCGAATTGAGCCCCCTGAACAAGCTGACAGCACAACCAACACATGTCTGCGAGGCAGTGTGATACCTGTGATACGCATGTTGACGATGTGCTGGTAATGATCAAAATGATAGCAGTGACGATCATGACAAAGGTCATGAAGCTGCTGCGGCTTTGGTCGTTGCGCTTAATCTTGATGCTGTTGTTGACAGTGGCCGAGAAGGTCGCATCCTCCAGCAGTAGTGGTGGCTGCCGGTAGTGAGGGTGATGATGCTGATGATGATAATGATGATGATGATGATGATGATGATAACGATGATTGTTATGATGGTGATGCTGATGATGATGATGATGATGGTGATGATGGCGATGATGATGATGATGATGATGATGATAATAACGATGATTGTTATGATGGTGATGCTGATGATGATGATGATGGTGATGATGGCGATGATGATGATGATGATGATGATGATGATGATGATGTCAATCGGCGGCAACAGAAGCCTCTCTTCAAAGACCCCTCCTGCTGCACCAGATGGGCGACTTCTTCACATACCAGGGTGTACAGTTCAAGGCCAGGCAAGATTCCCAGAACCCGACACCATAGACGATTAGCCCGATGCGCCGTGCACCTTAAAGTCCGTGTAGACCCCGAACCCAAAGACCCGCCGCGCACAGCCCTTATTCGAACGCCCTCATGTTAAAGGCCTCAAGCCTACGTCAACCCCGTAGACAGAAGCTTTCAGCCTTCAGGCAGATTTCAGAGCTTCAGTATGAGGTTGGGCTTCGGCGAGGTGTGATACCTTGAGACTGCGGTGTCAGAGCTTTAGGGACTTTTTGGTGGGGTCAAGCAGTCTTGCGTTGAGGCAGAGGTTTCTAGTGCTTTCGAGGTTTAAATTCAGTGACCTTCGTTTCTGTGCTGATGGAGTTGTCGGGGTTGACGGCTTGATCGTACGGAGCTTTAGGTCA